TATTATATAATTAGGATTTTGAGATATCAATATATGTGTGTACATACACATGGTGTACAAATAGCAATCGTCTTTTTATTAATGTAATAAATTCGATAAATTTGATATAGTGATATATCGATAGATCAATATGCAATATATTTGTCATGGTTACACATAAAATCTGATATAATTGATTTTTATATGATACCACACATAGTTTTGTTGTATATAGTGTACTGCACACCCCACCCAGACAGTTGGTAACTGTATCTACAATCATTTGTTATCTATGCGGAGTAATATGCGAAATAATGTATAAATGATTTTTAAAATAAATGATGCAATCCCATATAAGACAAAAAGAGCAGAGGTCTTTTTCGATTTTTAACAGCTGCCCTACTTTGTGAAAGTGCATCAGAGATATATCAAGTATAACCCAAGTTTGCATAAGGAGAGCATCTTCCAGTATTGCAAATACAAAGTAAAGTTTTCAACTATATAATATAATTGGAATTTTACTTTGTATTCGATACGCAGGAAGATGCTCTCCTTATATAAACCCAGGTTATACTTGATATACTCCCGACGCACTTTCGACGCACCAAACAAGGTAGGGCAGCTGTTAAAAATCGAAAAAAACCTCTGCTGACAAAAAGTGATCAAAACAACAATTAGTCTTCTTTTCACCTGAATTCAGAATTCATACCCTCTTGTTAATATTATACTTTATAAACAAGAAAAATAATGGAAAAACAGTCGATTAATAAAAATTAAAGTACGGCATATAGACCTTCCAGTTAGAGTTTAGTGACCATAAGTAATGGAAGTTATTTATAAAATCCACTTATCGATAATTAAAGATAAAACTTAACATTAAGCAATTTTTCTGGAAGACCCTCAAAATATTATATCGCTTACTGAGTACAATAAGAAAAAACAACTAGCTTCTATTTGGGCTGATATAATCAACGAAGACCAATTAATTACAAATACCTCTATAATCATTGAGAAAATTACTAATACCTCTATGGTTGTTGAGAAAGACAATATAAGTGACAACATAAATACCATCCAAGATTATAATTCTATATTTCTTGAGAATCGTCTAAATACTATTCAAGATAATTTTTTTGTTGAAAAAGACTATATAAATGTTATTTGAGATAACTCTATAACTGTTGTACAAGACTATCAAGATAATATTCAAAATGGTCAAGATAATTATAATAATAAAATTACAATTAAGGTTGATGACTCTTTTTCTTCATAAAAAATAGCTGAATTGTATTTAGAAAGATATGCAAAATTAATAGGTTTTTTTCTATATCATAAGTGTTGTAAAACTGATAATGCTAGAATTATATGTCGACAAACATTTGAATGTGGCTTATCTGGTGAATCAACACCTAATAAAGTGATTGATTAAAGTCTTTAGTATAATTGTTTGTCTAAAAAAACTAAATGTCCATGACATATAAATCTTAATATGCAAAAGTCATTACTGGAAATAAAAGTAACAAGCATTGTCAATGAGTATAACTATATTTTAACACCTAATACAGCCTTGTATAATCTGAAATATTGCAGATTATCAAACAATGTAATAGAAAAAATTGAGTTTTATGTTACTAAGGGAAATATGAGCTCAAAGCAAATTTATTCTTTGTTGGTTACAAGTTTTTCAGATTAAATTATTTGTAAAAAAGATCTTTATAATACAGTTTAGAAATTCAAAGTACCTTTTACTAAATATCAAGAAGATGTGCAATAAGTAATTAATAAGTTGCTAATTTTGAAAGACCAAGAACCCGGTTGGATTATCAACACAAAGCTCAACTCATATGACAACCGACTTGTTGGGCTATTTTGGATATCATCTATTTAATGCCAATGCCTTATGCGTTATAATGATGTTGTGTAAACAGATAATACATATTGAACTAACTAGTTCGATATGTATTTAGCATTGTTAGTTGTTATAGATAACAACACCAAAAGTAGGCTCATTGCTCAATGCTTGTTGGAGAATAAAACAGCTAAAAGTTATGAATGGTATCTCGACTATATTCTTTAAACAACTAAAAAAACACCTCCTATTTGTATCTTTTCAGATACAGACCTAGCATTAATAAATACAATAATGTCAAAAATGCCAACTACTAACCATTTTCTCTGTATGTTTCATATTCAAAAAAATTTGAAGAAAAATTTACACAGTAAGTTGGGGTAAAACTTTAAAATGGTTTATAAAAATTTTTTGTATGCCCAGAATAGTTTAAATAAAGATGACTTTTAGAGACATTTACTTGAACAATATCCTTAATCTCAAGGATATCTTAACTGTGCCTTAAACATTTGTTATAGAAAATAGGCAAAGTGTTATCAAATTAAACTTTTTACTGTTGGAATTTCAAGTATACAAAGAGTTGAAGTAATAAACAGGCTAATTAAAAAAGGCGCTAATAGCACTTCTTCATTATATAACTTGCATGATCAAGTTCAATGTTTATTAGATAATGAAGCCCAATAGGCTTGTCATAATACATATCTCCAAAGTCTCCCAACCAACCAAGCACCTTCAATCATTGAATCTGTATTTTATAAAGTATTCGAATTGATGAAGAAATACTTACTTGCACATATTTTATCTATTCAAAAACAACAAATTCAAGGATCTTTATTATACTATACAAAATTAATCTCTAATCTTATACAAAAAGACTTAAATCAATTTGATTATGATGTTGGTTTTCTTGAGAACCAACTTGACAGATCACAAATATCGCTATGTTCTCTGTTAAATAATATAAATCTATCTGATATTATAGAAATCTGGGAGCTCTTTAGAATTACAAGTTTATATAAATATTATATTGTTTTATTAACTAATAGAGAGCACCTATATACTTGTTTGTTTATAATTAACCATGGACTTGTATATATAAGTTAGACCTCCCTATAGTCACCAAGTTGGTTGCACCCTATTGTGGTACTTGTATAGAGGTGTAACTATAAATAAAATATATTTTATAGTCATGTGTCTATAGCTAATAAGTGTTTAATATTTTTTTTATTTTTTTTAAATATTAAGGTGACCACTTAGGCCTCTGGCACTTTATTAGTACAAGCGGTAGGCCAATGTTAATTTTAGCACCGGCTTTACATATTACATC